ACAGAGAGGTCCAAGCCAGTGGCTTTGAGGGTCCAATTCCTCCCAGCATCTCTTCCTTGACAAACTTAATCGAACTGTAAGTTCCCTGGCCATCTTAGGCCACAATCTCCATGAATTCCATAAGGACAAGATAAAAAATATACTCGTGATTTATAAAATAAGCTTTCTGATTTAATCTCAAGCAGAAGAATTAGCGACCTGAATGGAGGAGTTTCGCGGTTTCCATCTTTAAGAAACATGAAAAGCCTACAAAAATTGTGAGTTATTTCTACAACAACAAGGTTCTTGAAAATCAGAAGAATGTACACTTTGCTGCAATTGTTCTTAATTGAAATTAACTATGTTGCAGGATGTTGAGGGACTGCAACATATCTGGACAAATACCTGATTATTTATCAGAACTGCCACTAAGAATCATGTAAATCTGCTGCTCTTCTAGTTTAATTGCATGTCTGCCTTTTATATTATAACTAGCAATTATTAATAGTAATACTTTCATATGTTATATTGAATTCTAACAATTTTCTTAGTGTTTCAATTATAGCTGCAAATGCTTTAGCCCTAAAGTAATAACATGGTGCACTAAGAAGTCAAAAGTCTTACCAAATGATACCATTTTCACTGATCTTAAAATCTATTTGGAGCTTTAGGGACATGTTTATGAAGTTCATTTATGTTTCAAGTTTTAATATTCACAATAATTTAGATTTTCGTTGATCAAACAGATAATCAGCTATTGGTTGCCATGCTGCCCTTTCATGTCTACTAATGGAATACAACAAAATGAACAAACTGCTCTTTTCTGTTTAATTTTCTTGCAGTGATCTCAGTTTCAACAGATTAGTGGAAATTGGTAGAGGTTTTACGATTTCTCAACCGGAAAAAATGTAAGCATTAGTAAGATCAAAGTCTTGTTTATTATTCACCGAGGTTTTTCCCAGTATATTTTCCTCCATTTCAACTTCTAATTCTAGCTGAGAAAGTTTAAACTGCAACATGATTTATGATGCTAACTAAATAGGTATCTGACAAACAACTCGCTCAGTGGTCCGATTCCTGATTGGATCAAGAACTTAAATAGTCGCAGGTAATTCATAGATGCACATAAAGAATCCCATTATCAGCATCTAAAGCGTCAAGATCTCATAGATGCACTTTTCCTGTCAAAACAATGTAACATGCATTTACAATTAATGTCATTAAGCCAATATAGTTTTCTTTTTCAGTGCGATAGATCTTTCTTACAATAATTTTTCTGAGGACTCCGTGCAATCCAGTTGTCGGGAAACATTGTAAGAACAATTTTTTTCCTGATTCTTCCTTGAACTGTCAAGTATGCTATCCCTTCTTTTTAACTTCTCAAATATTGGAAAGTAAATATTTTGTTGTTCTATCAGAAACTTGTTCAAAAGCTCTACTGATGGAAAGAACTTGTAAGTTCCTACGTATCCAAATTTCAAAAGAAATATCCAGGCTACTTTGCATAAATTGATTTTTTTCACTGTTCGACCATGATGCAGACCACTCAATGAATGTCTGCAGAGTTATCCGTGTTCGAAAGGTACTTGCATTTCTTCCACCAAAATATACTAATATATGCTTCATTTGTATTTTCATTCATGCAATCATGCCCACTGCATTCACTCTGCTGATCAAAAGTGCTGTAAATTTTTACATTTCTTTTGTCAAATTTACTAATAAACTCTAGAATGCTATGTTTCTATGTAGATCATTATTCTTTATACATAAACTGTGGTGGGGAGAAAACTACTGTAGGAAATATTGATTATGAAGCCGATCCCAAACAAGGTGGTGAAGCAAAATATGTTCCGACTGAATCAAATTGGGAAGTCAGCAGCACAGGACATTTCTGGGATACGAGTATTAGCTATGGAGACTATATAGCACATAATGTATCTGTGCTCAGGATGTATGAATCTGCGTTATACACGACAGCACGCCTTTCTCCCCTTTCGCTCACGTATTACATTCGCTGCTTAGGAAATGGAAACTATACTGTTAAACTTCACTTTGCAGAAATAGTGATAAGAGACAATCGTTCTTTCCACAGTCTTGGAAGACGGATATTTGATGTTTATATACAGGTATTAAATCACATTGTACATTCTCTCCATGTCCTATATGCTGCTGCGATAATTTGATCGAATTAGGTGGTTGCAGGGGACACGCATGTTGAAGGATTTTAACATTATAAGTACAGTAAAAGCGGTCGATAAGGCATACATTCGTGAATTTAAGTCTGTTATTGTAATGGATAAGACCTTGGAGATTCGATTTCATTGGGCCGGGAAAGGGACAGCAGCTGCACCGAAGAGGGGAACATATGGCCCTCTGATATCAGCTATCTCAGTGAAATCAGGTAAGTTAAACACTCTTGATGGAGGCCTTTATCATCTTCATATCATAACATATCTCTCTTAGCTTCATATTTTTCAATATGTGCATACATATAAAGTAGATGCCTGCCAACATCTTTGAGTAAGAATGAATGAATCTTTGAGTAAGAATGAATGACTAGTGATTTCAGAAATTTAATCTTCAAGCAAGTCTAAAAATAGATTCATTATACATATTGCTTGGACCATAATCTTGAGCTTTTGGTTCACAATGTGACAACTTATTTTGTGAATTTGAAGTGTTGGGTTGCTTTAGCATGTGAAAGGCTAAATTGATCTTGTGTAGAGTTTAACAGGTTTGTTGAACTTGTGTAGAGTTTAAACCTCCAAATGATGGACAAAATAAGACATTCATCGTGGTAGGAGCTGTAGTTTCGCTTTTGATCCTAGTTCTCATGATCTTGGGTGTTCTTTGGTGGAAAGGCTGGTTGTGTGACACAATATCAAGGGAAGAAGGTAGTTTATATCATCTTTCTTTTAGATATCATAATTTTATACAGCTCAGTGTATTGACTATTGGCCTTGTACCTTGAACAGAACTAAGAGGATTAGATCTGAAAACCGGAGTATTCACCTTACGACAAATCAAAGCGGCCACAAACAACTTCGATGCAGCAAACAAAATTGGGGAAGGTGGTTTTGGATCTGTGTACAAGGTCACATACAAAACCACTAGGGCTTTATTTTTCAGTACTTTCCCCCTACCTTTCTAGTTTATCCCCAAAAAATACAGATAGGACTAAATTGATAAGATACAAATATGAAAACTTCAGTTCCTGTTTCATTGCAGGGAATACTATTGGATGGTACCATAATTGCAGTTAAGCAGCTCTCTTCAAGATCAAAGCAAGGAAATCGTGAATTTGTGAATGAAATAGGAATGATTTCAGGTATACAACACCCAAATGTTGTTAGACTATATGGATGTTGTGCTGAAGGAAATCAATTATTGCTGGTGTATGAATACATGGAAAACAATAGTCTTGCGCATGTTTTGTTCGGTAAGTTTGAATTTTTTTTTTTTACCGTTTGACATGTCCTTACCGCGAAACGAAAGGAATCAATTACTTGTTTTGTAATTTATGTTAACAACAGGTACAGATGAAGTCCAACTGAGACTGGATTGGGCAACAAGGCTGAGTATTTGTGTTGGTATTGCAAAAGGACTGGCCTTCCTGCACGAGGATTCTCCTCTGAGAATTGTTCACAGAGACATCAAAAGCTACGAATGTGTTACTTGATAGGGATATTAATCCTAAGATCTCTGACTTTGGTCTAGCCAAGCTTGATGAAGAGGAAAACACCCACATCAGCACCAGAGTTGCTGGAACTATGTGAGCTCTCTTCTTTTTTCCACTTTCAGTTCCATCTGAACAGTACTATAGTTCACAAATAACCTTAATTATGCAGAGGATACATGGCCCCGGAGTATGCATTATGGGGCTATTTGACCTATAAGGCAGATGTTTACAGCTTTGGAGTGGTTGCATTGGAAATTGTTGCTGGGAAGAACAACATGAAATACCGACCAAATGAAAATTTTGTATGCCTTCTGGATTGGGTGAGAACAATCTGCTTTAATTTCCTTGCACATGTAGGCTGTAGTTGTGTTTCACATTGAGCTGCAATAGTCGAATTGCATCCATTGAATATGTAGTATTTCAGGCCCTTGTTCTGCAACAAAAAGGAAACCTTTTGGAGCTAGTGGATCCAAAACTTAGTACAAAGTTTGACAAAGAAGAAGCCATGAGGATCATAAAGGTAGCTCTGTTATGCACTAATCCATCACCAGCACTTCGGCCTACAATGTCCGGAGTGGTGAGCATGCTCGAAGGCCGTACCGAGGTTCATGAAATTATCCTGGAATCAAGCTCTTATGGTGACGATATGAGATTTAAGTCATTAACAGGGTTCGATCAGGTTATCCTCCAGACAAGTGAAAACTCAGTCCTTCCTTCAATCGTCAGATTCTATATATATAGGATCATCTTCTGCATCTGCCCATGATCTATAAAAGAAACTTCATTGAAGTTAACACGTTGTAGCAGGCAACTTTCCTTGTACGTGCTAGCTAGTGTAAGGGACAAGACTGTCTGTGAATAAATCAATGGGAAGTAAATAGCATCAAAGTTGGATTCAGTTTTGGATTTGAATCTATTTATTATTTAAATCAAACCGTGTTGTAACTCGATTCGTGGGCAGTTAAAGTAAGAGTTTCAGTTGAAGAAATTGGTGCCAGGCAGGCCCAGCTCTACCTATACAATTTATCGTCCTCAACTTTAGATTAGATGCCGTAAACGCACGTCTATTACTAACAAATATTTAATTAGATGGGGTGTTGTTAATTAATATAACTTTTTTAGAAGCATAATAAGAAAATTAACTCTTCTTTTTGTTAATTTCATTTAACTTTTTTAATTTAAATTCAACTCCAAACCTTTTCTTTTATAGCTATATTATTATGAGCTTAATAGAAATGATGGTTAAGCTATTAAAGTTTTATTAGCCAAAAACAATGATAATGTTCACTGATGGAAGAAAATAATTAAAACTTGACCTGTACAAGCATCAAATTAGTCGTCTGAATTCATAAAATTAGATTAAATCAATCAAATATTCATGATGCAGTACTAAAATATGGAACTATTTACATTTCCAAGGCTGTCAGACTCTTGCAGGCAAAAGACCTGTAGGTCCAGGTAGCTCGCGGCGAGGAAAAACGTTCAACTAGCATGGTTGGGAAGGAGTGATAAATCTAGCATCTGGTACGATTTCCTTGGAGGATGTAGATGAAGGGTAGAAGGAATGGACAGTAGTTGAATTTTGGGTTTGGCTTCCACTCGAACTTTGATCTTCCTTCTGTTGACAGAGATCTCTCATGGCCTTGAACCTTAAATCTTCAGTATAGCTGCCCAGTTCTGGTAACAAGTCGGGAACATTCGTTCGCCCTTCAAGCATGTTTACCACCTCGGACATTGTCGGTCTAAGCGATGCAGATGCATTTGTACACAACAGAGCTACTTTAACCATGAGTTCCACTTCTTCGTTTTTGACTTCGGATCTTAACCTCTCATCGAGAAGTGCTGTCAAGTTTCCCGATTTTCCCACATGGCATGCCTGCAATACAGATTCATATATAGATACACCTTGTCATATATCAGTATAGGAGAAATTTGGAAACTTGTACAGGAAGTAGTCCACCAAAAGAAGAAAGAAGGCAAGTACCCAATCTAAGAGACAGACAAACTTTTCACTTGGCATAAAGTTATTGGTGTTCTTCCCGCTAACGAGTTCCATTGTTAGAACTCCGAAACTGTAAACATCTGCTTTATGTGTAAGATGGCCCCATAATGCATATTCTGGGGCCATATATCCTCTGCACATTCAAATGGTGATGTTTTAGGCAAAGCACGGTCTTTTTGCATGAACACAAGCAGGCAAAAAGAAATTGAATTTCGTTGGTTATTAAAAAGGTGAGGAATTCACATTGTTCCAGCAACTCGGGTGGTGATGTGGGTCTTCTCCTCTTCATCGAGCCTAGCCAATCCAAAGTCGGATATTTTAGGGTTCAATTCACTATCGAGAAGCACATTGGTAGCTTTAATGTCTCTGTGAACGATCTTGAGTCTTGATTCTTCATGCAGAAAAGCCAGACCTTTAGCTATGCCAATACAGATCTTAAGCCTTGTAGGCCAGTCTAGTTCAAGCTGATTGCATTCCGAACCTACATATTACGTCAAGGAAGTATGCATTACCGTATTAAATTTTATTCATGTGAAACATGATAATTGACATCAGTTAATCATGCATTCATCTTTGAACTTTACAAAGAGTGAACCAAAGGACGAGTGCATGATGCAGCAAGACTCACCAAACAATGCTCGAGCGAGGCTGTTGTTTTCCATGTACTCGTACACCAGTAGCAGTTGATCCCCTTCAACACAAAATCCATGAAGCTTGACAAGATTCGGGTGTTGTAAACAAGATATCATCCCTATCTCATTCAGAAATTCGCGATTCCCTTGCCGTGATTTAGAGGAGAGCTGCTTTACTGCAATCTTGGTACCGTCATATAGCTGACCCTGAACCCCGAACTGTATTAGATTCTCATATATCGAGTAAAATAAGAATTAATAACAACAGGATCTTCATATAGCATTTAGCTAGGAACCTTGTAAACAGGACCGAAACCACCTTCGCCAATCTTGTAAGCGGGATCAAAGTCGTTGGTGGCAACTTCAATCTGTTTCAAAGTGAAAGTCCCCAGTGGCATGTCTTCTTTGGTACCTGTCCAAAAAAGAGCCAAAAGTGAATGTGCTTGTTTCATGATTCCTTTAACTAGAAAACTAATCTTGTCCCGAATTCCAAGTAGGGTAACTAAACATGAGCATTGACTACAAACAGAACTTACATTATATTAAATAAATTAAAATTAAGCATTTCAAATTAAATTTTTCATTTTACAATAAAATTGATATGTTAATTTTAAAAAAGGTTTAATCATATTATACCGGTCTATTTGTTGTACTCATCGTTTATTTTCCACAGAATCTTAGAATATGTTTGTCATAGATAGAGCCATAATCATTGGTTTTTTAAGGAAACTGAATTAGCTCTCTATTTTCCTCAACAGAACATGAGCATTGTTCAAAGAGAGATCATTAAGACATTTGATTTAGATTCAAATTTTGAATATTTTCATTTTTTAAAAGAACTTAGCTCAATATTTTAGTGAAGATTATATACTTTTGTATTTTTGTTTATGAGGTTATAAATCAAAAGTTCCATATGGTTATCAACCTTTATTAGTGATATTGCTTGTATGCATCTTTTATACCAGTAATCATAAAAAATAGATAAATACTTTAGAAGAAATATAAATAAATAGTTTTCATCGGTCCCGTCAAATTAAATATCAAGATCCGCCACCGAGAAAAATGGCCGTAAATGCAATAACTTAATTTACATGTAACATATCACCAACAGAATTAGAGGATGTACCTTTTTTCTGCCAATACTTCCCAAGCAAATGGCCTTTCCACCAAATAAGTCCCCCTACGAGGAGGCCAAGGCATGATCCTAGAACCCCAAAAGCAATGACATATGCAAATCCTTTGTTTCTTCTATTCGAGCAAGGTTTCGAATCTGCCCAACACGGCAATGTTCATTAATAAAGCAGAATGAAAAAAAAGACTAGCAGAAATCATTTTAAAGAAAGTGTGTTCATTTATATGTTTAATCAGGTAAGACTATTCAAGTAGGCTTGTATACCAGAAATAACAGAAATCGCATTTACAAGTGGTCCATATTTGTTTCTTCTATTCGAGCAAGGTTTCGAATCTGCCCAACCGGCAATGTTCATTAATAAAGCAGAATGAAAAAAAGACTAGCAGAAATCATTTTAAAGAAAGTGTGTTCATTTATATGTTTAATCAGGTAAGACTATTCAAGTAGGCTTGTATACCAGAAATAACAGAAATCGCATTTACAAGTGGTCCATAGACACTTCTTCGAGGAATTCTCGTTGTTCCTTTGCCGGCCCAACTAAATCGAATCTCCAGGAAATTATTTGTCACATTTACATTTGAAACTTGTTTAACCAAAGGTTTTAGAGCACCCATTGCCTCGGATTCAATGTTGAAGTCTTTCCACAGTAACTTTTCCTGTACAAAGGAGATTCATGCATCCACAATATACAACTTAGGAAAAAAAAAGTATCTTCAAAAGCATGTTAAGTAATCACCTGAACGTAAACATCAAATATGCGTCTACCAAGGCTGCTATATGTTTCATCAGGAGTAAATTGTATCTCAGCAAAATTGAAAGTTACATTGTAAATTCCATTCACTAAGCAATAATGGAAATAAGTGAGCGATATTGGAGCTCGGCGGGCTGTTGTGTACAGTTCCGACATATTTGACGGTGGCCCTGGTACAGTGTAACGTGTATTTTGGAAATCATTGTCATCCATGAAGTCTCCAGTGCTACTAAATCCCCAATAACTATCTTCATTAATATAAAATTCTGCTGCACCACCTTTAACATCACCATCTCCTTCATACATTACATTTGCATTATTTTCCTTCATCCTTGTGTCCTTTCCACCACAGTTAACATGAAAACAATTTGAATCTGCTACAAAGCAAATGATTAGTATTTAAGAAAGAAATAAACTAAGTAATATATTTAAGTAATGTAACATGAAGTCAATTTCTTGTACAGCTATGGTACTGTTCCATGAAACTTTGAATCAAACTCAACACCACTGTAAATCTTTAATCCGATTGTTCCATAACTACAGTACTCCTTGATTAATGTGGACTTGGATTATCGATCTTTTATTAGTCTATTTTACCATGTTCTTCATGTATTACATTATTAAAAGTATTTCGAGATAAAGTTTACCAATAACTTCACAAAAAACCTTATTTAGAAAATCAGTAACCTCAAAGCGAATAAATATTTTTCAAATCCTATATCAATTTTTTCCAACACAATAAAAGTTAGTAGGTTGCATACAAGTACTGAAATAATTTTTGTGATTCTAGCTTCCATTGAAACAAGATAAGAGAAACGAAGAGGGATGAAACTAATCATTTTAGTACCGAGTCACTTCATATGAAAGAAATCTGGGCAGAAAGCTAAAATGAAAGCGATTGATCCAATAAAGTAAAAGGTTGAGCGGACTAAGAGTACTGGCAGTTCACATATTTTGACTCCTGAAGGAGACAACTTACATCGAGGACACGTGAAAGACTTCTTGCATGGAAGAGATCCCATCCTATTAAAGAATTGCAGAGCAGAAAACCGTTAGCACAATGTTTGATCAGTACAAACACAAGATTTTCCTTGAAGCCACCAAATATTTCAAGGAAAAAATAAGAGAAAGGCTCAAAGAAAACTCTTACAAGCGGTTCCTTGATGAAGAACTATGATACAAGTTTAAGTTCAGATTCCTAAGGGGGGGAAATGACGAAATATTTGTTAGGTTGACATCGTGCCAAAGAAGAAAGTAGAAATACAAGACTAAAACAAAGGTAGTCTGACATGTTCTCCTGACAAGCAGGTTTCTCAGGGCCTTGCAAATTGAAGTCATTGTATGAAAGATCACTGCATGCAAGTATTGAGAATCAGTATAAATTTCCAAAGCAAAGATGGGAATGAACTTTCACAAGGGAATAAATGGAAATGTGATAAGTAGTGTCACAGGCAGAAACATACATGCTAGATCCTTGCTTCAGTATAGAATCGGGCACATCTCCGCGTAGCAAGTTGCCACTTAAAAAGCTATTAAAAACCCACACCAGATGGTCAGTATGTCGTATCAATGTCAGTTTTTCAGTGACTCAAGACTGGACAAGTTCAACATTACATCTCAGTGAAGATTTGTTCTTATCCCTAAAACCATGGATGTGAGCTTTCTATCTGTGCACATGCACCTATATTTTCTAGCTTCTACAATAAAGAAGTCCAAGTGCTTATTCAGATTCTTAAAACAATCTGTTTTCAGCAATGGGTCCAAAAGAGAGCGAAATGCCGCCACACTCTCAAATTTATACTTACACAAATCTTAGACGATCTGCAGTTATTCTGGTCGGGATTTCCCCAAATAAATTGTTGAAACTGAGATCCCTGTTGCAATTGTGAGATAGTGTCCAAAATTTCAAACATGATTTTGCAAATTAGGATTCGATATGAGTTCATCACAGCAAATAACTTGGTGATAGAAAACCTATTCAAAAAGGTTCTTGAGGCAGATTTTAACTGAATAAATAATAAAGAAATGTGCTCTAGGGTATTAAGTCCATGGAAAGTAATGGGAAGTAAATCATGAACTTTGCTTTCACATGCATATCTATAGCAATCTTCCTCTGTTAAAAATATAAGCAAACTAGACAATAATTAAAACCAAAAAACAAAGAAACCAGACGTTATTTTTCACTTCAATTTTGTCTTCTAAGTGCTTATTATATTCTAAGCACCCTTTGGCATAGTGATTATTCCATAATTATAAGCCCGATGCTCCCAAATTTCTATTTAAGCATAAATAGCATGACTTTTTCAGCAGAAGAATCACAGTCCTGTGTAATAAGAATAATTTGTCTGCAGCTTAAGTTAGAACAGTGCTTTACAGCAAAATAGTATTGAGCAATGTAACTATGGTTTTCAACCAAAATTATTGAGACTACAATTTTAGTTTCTTAAAACCAGAATGATGCATGTGTCTATACAGAAACAAAGAACTGTTATAGTATCAAATATGTTCCCTCCGAAAATGAATAACCTGCGAAAGGGAAGTGAATGCAAACAGTGGAAGATAAGGAAACTTTATGCCCCAAAACCTCGCATATCCTGCAAAATATTCGATAATGTGAGCACTAAACATACAATGTAAGTAGGCCTTCCATATTTCTAAGCATGGGAAAACCCTGACTTGGCCCATTCATATCACTAATCCTCCTGCATAAAACATAAGTCCATCAGTGAAAAACAAAAAATGTAGTTGTGCAAAATTAAGTCAATGACCGCAAGTAACAGAGGCATTATATTTATACTCACAGCTCACGTAATTCCCTCAAACGAAATAGGTTTGCAGGTATTGGTCCCTGGAATCCACTTGCTTGCATTTCTCTACAGTAAGTCAGAATGAACAAGTAAATTGTAAGAAAATGAATAAATGCATATGTACATATATTAAAAATCTGAATTCTATTTTAACTGAACTTACAGTCTGCTGAGTTGTCTCCAGTTCTGTATGAAAGTAGGTATTTTACCATTGAAATTGTTATCATTTATCCTACTGCAGTAAACAACAAAATGATGTTGGTCCTATGAACATATCAAGGCATGTAGTTTAAAATACTGGAAAATTTGAAGAAACATACAAGTCAGTTAGATTTCTTAGTAAACTAAACGTCGCTGGCAAATTCCCAGTTAACTGATTGGAGGAGAGCAGCCTGAAATTACAATAAGCGTACGAAAGAAAACAAATCAATTAACATAAAGGCAAAAGAAATTAACATGAAATTAAAAGAAATGCAATATCAAATAAAGAAGAAGAAGAAGAAGATACCGAGTTTTCCCTTACAATGTTTTCAAGTTCACTAAATCCCCTAGTTCAGGTGGTAGGGGACCCACAAATCGGTTTGCTTCAAGATTCCTGATTAAAAAAAGCATCAAACATCTTTCATAAATTTCCTAGGAGTGAAAAAAGGAATACGAAAAAGTCTATAATTTCATAGGACCTACATATATACATCTACTAAATCACAGGGTTTGCTATTTTGATTTTGTGATGTGACTCCTTCCTAGGAAGACAATCATCATAACACTCTCAAAACATTAACTAAAAATATATAATTAACCAAGGCTCAGAACATACAGATATGTGAGAGTGATAATTTTTCCCAGATACTTCGGAATTTCCCCTGACAAGCGATTTGCTAGAAGCGAGCTGACAAAAACTTTAAGGTTAATATATTATAGGAGAAAAATCATATTTAAAAGTTTCAGAAACTTACATAGAAGTCAAGTTCATTGAAGCCCATTCACTTGGAATGGTACCATTCAGGTAGTTGTAAGCAAAATCACTGCAACAAAAAGCAAGGAAACTTAAACCAGTTCGACATTATTGCTCAAGGTTCCAATTAGCATGTAAAATATAAACATCATAGTAAATAATTTCAAAAGCTCTTACATTTCTTGAAGGTATGGAAGCTTAGCCAGTTGAGGAGGAAGTATTCCACGAAGGTTATAACGCTTGAGTACTCTAAAATACATAAACCAAGCTACCTTAGTATAACAACCAACAAAAGGAAACAGACCCTATAATTGATCCATGGTCATTGCTTTAAGGGGGTATGCAGATATGTATATGGAAATCATGCCTCAAAAGCAGAATCTATGCAAATATAAGCAACTTAGATTACAAAAGCCAAAACTACGCTTAAAAGCTGTCATTGACAACCCCCTTATATTCACTTTAGTTAGAAATAACCATGCATACAAATACAGCCATGTAGAATGTATTACACTAAATCAGATTAAGGAATTAAAGTAAATTAGCTAGTTACAAGATGAAGGAATAATACATCTTTACGACGTGACAAACAGTGCCATTTGCCTCATATTCACAAGAGATCTCATGAACAGAATTCTTCGGTGGCACTAGCGTTACCCCAACCCTTTCAATTTCACAGGAATCGCCATTAAATTTCCAGTATATGGAGCCCATTGCAGTAGCAATCTCTTGCAAAGCATCAACTAGAAGACATCCATAGTTCCGTAAGCATCACAGCAATAAATATGAACAAAAAACTGAATAGAATCATAGCCAGCTTTGTTCGTTAACATATGGATTAATTCAACGTCCACACCAGTAGTGCATAAAAAGAGTAAATAAGTTCAATTTAAAGAGTAATAGGGTTATACTTGAGGCAATGCCCGTGTATAGAATTCACAGACTGCCTATATCCAAAATCATCTTACTTAGACCAGCATTTAGATTTGTAAACGTGTAGATAAGATGATAAGTGCAGGAAAATATAAGGATTAATTGCTTAAACCAACACATTTCAATCACCCGGAACATTTCTTTTTTGCCACAAAGCATGCCAAAGATCACACTGTGTGGTCAAAATCAAATACACATTCATTCATACAATATCTATGATTCTTTGACTTCTTGACGGCTACAAACAAATCAATACTTGAGGCATAATTATAGCTTATTGATGAACATTTCAAGAAAAGAAGGGTATTTAAGCAACAAAACAATAGTTGGTACCATTTTAGATGCCTTTTTAATCAATCCAAGAAATCTAAAGCAGCAAAATCCAAACAGATCCCAGTTTACAGATAAGTTCCCGCAATTGGTTTCTAAATTTCATTCCACTTTCCCTTCATCTTTCTAGTCGAACTAAAAAAAGCCATTTTTCAACACTATCTCTTCAACCAAAACTACGACAAATAAAAGGCAAAGCTTGAACTCTGACTCACCTTCTTCTCTGGGCACCTTAGACTCAGCAAATCTAAGCAAGCTGAAGCAACCCATTGCAGTGATCCAGAAGACAAACGTTTTCTTGGTAACCATGACGACTACGAGAAGCGGCTGTACTCAATCCAAATGTCTATGCTTATAATCGTGCAAAGTTAGTGACTTTAATAATCCAAAAAACCCGAGATAAAGGAAATCGAAATACTGGGATTTGTGGCAAGTAAACAAGATAAGTACAGGAAGTATTGAAAGGACTGCCCCTTACTTTTGTTATATACTGAACTGTTTATACACGGTAAAGGAATCTTAGTCCGTAAATATTGGCAGCAGGGAAGTAGGATGTCTCGTCTTTCTTCATAAATATATATATTGAATATATATAGAGGGAAATATTCAATTTTTATTGCTGCAGTAAATTCAGGTTTTTGTTAATTTTCATAAGAAAGATGTGATGTTTTAAGGTAAGCACCAGTCATGGACGAGAGACTAAAGCACGAAGCCACCTTTTGGGTTGCTGAGCTTCCTGTTCTTTGGACTAAGTTTTGAATGTTTTGTACATTAAAATACTTTGAATCCTATGGATTATCAATACCAAACTCTTTCGTTACTTTAACATTAAGGGGCGTTTGGATCAAGAAAATTATCATTATTAAGAGAAATATTTTTTTCCAAAATCACATAAACTCTTGAATAATATAATTATTTTATAACAATCATTTCTTTTATATATAATTACACGCGTAAAAAATTTATCTTATTTTATTAATACTTATTATAAAATAATATGATACATATCTAGTCACTTTCTCCTTTTAACCTCTTTCTCCTTTTAACCTCTTTTTCTTTCTTTTACAATTTGTATTAGTTTTTATACATTGAATCAACTTTTTTTTTTCTTTGATTTTGTTTAGTCAGCGACGGCATTAGTTTTGATACTGATTATCAAATGTAGTTGTGTTTTTTCTTTGTTTTTTTAATTTTTTAATAAGAATAATTATGTTTTTGTCACACGTTAATATCTGTCTTTGTGACGTGTTTATCTCTGTCTTTTGGTAGTTTTCAATTTTTTTGTCGTTGTTTTCTTTTATTTTTTCCTCAAGGTTGGATTTGACATAGTCATGACTGATCAAGATGACGTTTATTTGTTATAATGTTGATATTCTCTGCTTTGGACCCTCGGATTGATTTTGATATGCGTTTTGCGTTCTTGGATAGTTTTATCACGTCTCTCGACTCTGATTTACGATTCGTCGATAGTCTTTCAGTAGTTTCATCCCCTTTTGTGGTTCGTTTGCCGATGCAGTCAGATTTGTTCGTATATTTATTTTGTTTGAGTTTTTTGTTAGTTTTTTTAATATTTTCCTTCTTTGGTCTTTATATGATCTACGTGGCTAGTTATTGTCTTAATGGTAATAATAAAATGTCATAATTATATTTTAGGTTTACGGTTATGATTGTAAATCTTCAATATAATCTTGAACATTTTTTATTTTTAATAAAACTAGTGTCTTTCTATAAAAAAATAATATGAAGTAGCATATCATTTTTTATTTCATTTTGATTATTTTTACGTATGTGTTTCATTCAAATCTTATTATATATTTTATTACATATATTATTTAGGATGAATTTAATAAAATTTTCCATATTATATTTTTTAATATTTTCTATTAATTTTGTCACATAATTTGATATGATATTTTTTTGTACAACTCATGCATATAGCATAAATAAAAAATATAACAATTAACACATACTTACATCGATGTAAGTATGTACATTCTCGAACTAAAATAAATACATATTTACATCGGTGTAATTATGTACGTCTCTCACTATTGTAATATCTAAAAATAAATACATAATTATATTGGTGTAAATATGTTTTAATATTTTTAAAGAAATAAATAATAAAAAATATTAAGTTATTTGTGTATAAATTTTATTTAAAATATTAAAATTATAAATAATAAAAAATTATATTTTCTATGAACTTTCATGTAAATATGTTGATTCTAATATTAAGAATTTTATTTGTTATAAAATAAAATATATCTAAAGAATAATTTGGTAAAACATATATTTTTCTTATCTTATATTATATTAACCAAACACTGTAATCTTATATTTCTGTCAAATAAATCAAATTATGTAATATAATATTTCTAATAATATGTTAAATAATATAACATTTTAATAATTTTATTTTTAAAGATTAATCTTATATTAAATAATAAGGTGATCCTTCCTGATAATTTCCATCTTGGACGAGAGGAGATAAGTCTATTGATGTCAGCTGATGGACTAATAGGCATTGATTTTGACAGTGGTATTTGGTCCGTAGACTTATAAAATGGAAGCAGTCTTCTCTACTTTCAAACTAGGTGTGCTGCTCATTGTTTTCACAAGCCTAATCCTTTGATTTTTCATGAAAGGTTATTTGTCAGCCTATGGAATTGGATTATTTTTCTTCATTTATTTTTTTGGGCAAAAAGGCATTTTAGATCCCTAAACTTTTGAAGGAAAAAAATCAAAGCAATCCTCAAATTATTTTTTTTTCACTCAATTTGACCTTATAACTCATAAAAAAAATCAATGTGATTCTTTGATCAATCTTTTTCATCGCTGATCATTATGGTACTGACGTGGCAGTTCACGGTACTAACATACAGGTTCACGGTGGTTGTTGACATGACAAATAGACTAAATTGTTTTTTTTTTTGTCTTATTCGAAGGTCAAATAGATTTTTTAAAAAGTTCAAAAAATTATTTTTTAAAGATAAAAATTATCTTAAATATCAAATATCAGTTATTTAAATATTCAAAAAATTAAATATCAAAATATCAAAAAAATTAAATAACTACAAAATTAAATATATATTCTAAAAATACTAAATATTCTATTAAACTTTTTTAAAAAATAAATATATATCATAAGATTAAATAATAAATTATTAAAAAATTAAAAATATTTTTAAATATATATATTATACATAATTTGAATATATATTATATATATTATGTATAATATATTTTAAAAAATAATTTTAATATTTTAATTTATAATTTATTGTTTTATAACTTATTATATATTTAATTTTTAAAAACAAATTGGTAGTATTTTTAGTATTTTTAAAATATATATTTAGTTTTTTTAAAATATTTGAATATTTAAAATTTAAAATTTAAAATAATTTTTTTAAATTACATAAGCCCCTAAAATTTAAAAAAAAACTAATTTTGCCCTTGAACAAGATAAAAAAAATCAATTTAGTCCATTTCTCATATCAGAACTATTGTGGATCGCCATGTCAGCACCGTGAACTGTCATGTCAGCATCGTAACGGTTAACGAAGGAAAATGTTGGTCGAATGACCACATTGAATTTATTTTATGAGTTAAAGGGTCACATTGGGTGAAAAATAATTAAATAGTCACATTATTTATTTTTCAAAAGTACAAGGACCTCAGGTGTCTTTTTACATTGTTTTTTATGAACGACATATTTAGTTAAACACTTGTAATTTCAGTTGCTTTATCTTTAATTATTTTTATTTTTAAAATCATATTAAATATTATATTTTATTTTATTTTATTTTTTATTTTAATTATATGCGGTTAAAATTTTAATAATAATAATATTGTCAAATAATATTGATATATGACAAGCGTTGTAATTGTCAAATAAATATTCCTTATTCTCAAATAAAATAAATAAATAAAAGTGTAGTAAAGAGAAAAAAGGTCGATCCACATGGACTAAGGAGCTTTCGATGTTGAATTGCTTTGTAATATCCTATACGGGGCTACTTAAGCTAACATGGATATTCTGAGTGCACATTAGATTCCGAAGCGAATTGGACAAACAAAACCTAATCATGTGAACTAAACGGAGAAAAATATGAGAAAACATCCAACACGTCGTGTATCATAACAAGATTCTACAAAATCAGGCTTTCAACAAACATACAATTAAACATCGCGAAGAAAACATAATCATATAACATAGGGGTAAATTAGTCATTTTACATACCACCGTTAAAACGATAATAAAATCAGAAATTAATTCCACCATTTTTCATAACTATCAGCCAATTGAACATATACAAATTTACATACCAATCGGACACCAAACATAGACCTAATTAAACATGCAAATCTAATGACCAAAACGTAAATAATGAAAAAGTTACATACGAGTAATAAATATGCAATTGGCATTTCCATTATGTAAGTATATTTAAGGGTGACAAGCCAAGTCTCATCAAATTTCGACCAAAGATAAAGTATTAATCAACAATTCGATTTTGGGACCATTTGAAACTTATAATAAACATCCTAGGGTTAAACTAAGGACCTTTAATGAATCAAATTTTATCATTTTTCATTAAGCATACAACTAAGGGATCGATCTTTTTTTACGGGGATCGATCATTTACAAAATAGTGAGTTTTGGATCGATCCTTTAGGCAAGGGATTGATCTTTTCAGTCAAGGGATCGATCCTTTTTTGGAAATATATAAAATTCATTTAAATATGATAGAACAAGCTAACAACCTTCCATGCAATCGATCTTATGACCTATGAACATGCTTGAACACACTTGAGCCAATTCAAACATATCAAAATACATGTCTAGAACATACTTCATAACATCGTTTAACACAACATATACGAATTTAGCATCAAAAGTCAAATATCGCATAAATAGCCAATTTTAACGCATGTCACCTAGTATCTTTATACTTTATTGATCATCTCATGCAACCTAAATACCTAACATGTCATGTTCACTTATAGTAACTTGTCTAAACACTTGGATCACTTATTTAAAATATATAGCAATCTTTGATCATTTAAGGCACACTTACACAATTGAACACTTAAGAACCACTAAATTATCAACACCTATTTCATGCTTTATTAAGAATCTAAGTAACCAAAAATGTCATCGTAGTCATTCAACAATTGAAAACAAGTGAAAATACATGTTATCATACATTCCCGACTAAGGATCCCATATTGCCTCAAATAAGACCGAAGTTAAAATATAACTTTACAACGCTTCCTTGCTTTGATCACCACCAAGTGCCTTGTCTCTCAACTCCTAAATCAACAAGTAACAATATGAAAATGGTTAAACAATAAGTGTTATCTATAAAGCCTAGTGAAGGACTAAACATTCAAGTATGATGTACATGTGAAGGCTAAAAGAAAGCATACCTAAATGCCATGCGAAC